AGTCGAGATGATTTACAAATGAAAGAAGTAAAAATTTGGAATCATGTTATTAAATGGGGAATTGCTCAAAACCCTAGCTTACCATTAGATCCTGAAGATTGGACCAATGAAAATTTTTTAGCTTTAAAGACCACTTTACAAAATTGTTTACCTCTTATCCGTTATTTTCATATATCTGCAGATGACATTATTGATAATGTACAACCATATCAACAAATTCTAGATAAGAATCTTTGGAAAGATATAACAAACAAACTTATGTCACCAAATCGACAAGTATCCTCCCGCTTCGTGTAATTTTGAAGACAACATTACCGATTAGAAATACCGATCCGTTTTCGACAGTTATTAATGAAGAACATGCAGCAGAAATTGCCTCATGGGTTGATAAAAAGACTGATGTATATTCTACAACAATAATCCATATGAATTTAAACTACTACTTCGTGGAACTAAAGATGGTTCTACTGCTGAATCATTTTGGAATTTATGTGATAAGAAAACACATCTTGTTGTAGTCATGAAGTAAAAGGTACTGATGAAATTCTTGGTGGATTTAATCCTATTGGTTGGGATAAATCATTTAATTATTCTTATAATAATTGCAATGATAGCTTTATTTTTTCATTAAAAAATGGTAACATTCAAAATTCTTTTTTAAGTCGAGTAAAACAGCCGGAAAATGCAATTTATAATCGTAAGGATTATGGTCCAATGTTTGGTGGTGCATTTGATTTAGTTATGTCGGATAATTGTAATCAAGATAGTAAATGTTGGAATTTAAATTTTTGTATAAAAAACGAATTAGAGATGTATCTACATACGAAAAGAATGGTGCATCATATTTTTCGGTAGATGAATATGAGATAGCAAGAAACTCTAAAAATTTCATGCCAATAAATTCACTAAATAAATATTTTTATCGTAATAATCTATTTATTATAGTTTAGATGTAACTTCGCTAACCATACCTCTCATTATCTTAACTCGACATCTTGAAAGATTATCAAAAATTTGACAGACTTTGTCGAGAATAAAATTATTGCATTTAGCTGTGACGTTTATAAATTTCATAATTCACATATTTTTGCGAAAAGTAGTTCTATAAATACAATAAAACCTCCATAAGTGCACGCTCTTGGGACCGAACTTTAACGACGTGCACTTAGAGAACAATAATAAAAAGTGCATTTATAAAGGTCATATATTTGGGCCCGAATTTAAGCGTGCATTTAGAGAGCTTATAGAGGGCACGTTTCACTATCCAAAAAAGGTTGTTTCTGTGTGCTATGCAACTCACAGTCCACGGTGAAAAATAATCACTGGTCACGAGACATTGTAAGCTTTTAAACGAAGTAATTTTACGTTACACCTGATCACTAATCTATTTCGTTTATTGAAAATGGCAGTAAAATTTTTTGAAAACCTTTCAAATAATTATCTTGAACTACTTGATGATAAAGAAGACTTTAATATAATTATTAATGTTGGTGAGTCCCAAAACACCAAAATATTCCAAGCACACTCGGCAATCTTAAGATACAGATCTTTATATTTTCGGAATGAATTGGCAAATATTAATAAAGATAAGAATAATATTAAAACTCTTGATTTGAAAAATATTCCTATACAACAATTTGAAATTATTATTAGGTAAATTATTTTATACACATAATAATAATTTATATAATTTTGCAAGAACTCTAAAATCTAATTTAATTTTAAACAAAGGTATATCTACGGAGGAGTAGTCTTACTTGAAAACCATAAAGCATCATTTATTTTTGAGCTTATGCTTATTGCTTGTGAACTTCTTTTTGATGAATTAGCTAAACACCTTGAAACTCATTTGATTGAAAAAGAAGCTCATTGGCTTCGTTTACAATTTACTTACGTTTATCAAAAAAGTTTCCAGAATATTAAACTTCATGAATTACAAAAATGGTGCAATGATATTGTGGTAAAATATCCTGATAAGATTTTTGAATCAGAAGATTACATTTCGCTTCAAGAAAATGCATTAGTATCGCTTATTAGTCGAGATGATTTACAAATGGAGGAAGTAAAAATTTGGAATCATGTTATTAAATGGGGAATTGCTCAAAACCCTAGTTTATCATCAGATCCTGAAAACTGGACCAAAGAAAATTTTCTAACTTTAAAGACCACTTTGCGGAATTGTTTGCCTCTTATCCGTTATTTTCATATGTCTGGTGATGACATTGTTGATTATGTACAACCATATCAAAAAATTCTGGATAAGAATCTTTGGAAAGATATAACAAACAAATTTATGTCACCAAACCGACAAGTATCGTCAATAATCCTCCCACCTCGCGTAATTTTGAAGTCAACATTACCGATTAGAAATACAGAACCATTTTCGACAGTTATCAATGAAGAACATGCAGCAGAAATTGCTTCATGGGTTGACAAAAAAGCTGATATATATTCTGCAACAAATAATCCATATGAATTTAAATTAATCCTTCGCGGAACTAGAGATGGTTTTACCGCTGTTTCTTTTTGGGAATTATGTGATAAGAAAACACATCTTGTTGTAGTCATGAAGGTTAAAGGTACTGATGAAATTCTTGGTGGATATAATCCTATTGGATGGGATAAATCATCTAGTGTTTCTTTTAAGAATTGCAATGAGAGCTTTATTTTTTCATTGAAAAATGGTACAATTCAAAATTCTATTTTAAGTCGAGTAAAACAACCGGAATATGCAATTCTTAATAATGCAAGTCATGGTCCACTTTTTGGTAATGGATGTGATTTAGCTATGTCGAATAATTTTAATCAAGATCGTAAATGTTGGAATCGTCAACATTCGTATGAAAAACGAATTAGAGATGCATCTACATACGACAACGTTCGTATATCATATTTTTCGGTAGATGAATATGAGATATTTCAAATTAGCAAGAAACTCTAAAAATTTCATGCTAATAAATTCACTAAATAAATATGTTTATCGTAGTAATCTATTTATGGTAGTTTAAATATAACTTTGTTAACCTTACTTTAACTCGACATCTTAAAAGCTTGACAGACTTTGTCGAGAATAAAATTATTGCATTTAGCTGTGACGTTTGTAATTTTTCATAATTCACATATTTTTGCGAAAAGTAGCCCTATAAATATAGTAAACCTTCCATGTGCGCTTAGAAAACAATGAGAAAAATTTTATTTCTGGGATCATATATATATATATTTGGGTCCGAATTTAAGCATGCATTTAATATTAAAGATGGTTTGCACTTATAGATGGTGCATTTATAGAATCTATTTAATTGAAATTTATTTCCTATAATGAACCTAATTCTATCTTTTTAAGTCCGTCGAACTTTAGACTTTTATTATTATTCGCTCCTTATCATTAAACACGAGTCGATGAAACAAACTTAATAGATCTGAAATTAAACCCAGAAATTGGTGCTATATCGTCAATATTAAAATCTTTGTTTTATAAAAAAAATTCCCAATGTATGTGTGCATCATATTCTAAAAGGCATGAATTTAAAATTGAGATGCGTCAGAATGAAATTCGATTTTGAGATACGTCAGATTTTAAAATACGTGATACATAAATCTTATTTTTCTTAAGTATAAACTTATTTATATAATGGTCTACCGGTTAAATATTTATCAAAAAAACAAAAAACCAATTTTATTAACGTGTGCACGCTATTTAATTCCCTGAGTCGGGATTTTAAAAATAGAAGTAGGATCTTTTAAACTTCCAGGCATTTTCGAAATAAGTTAATTCTGAATCACCTTAATGAAATAAAAAAATGTCCTTTGCGTATTTCGTGCCGAATTTAATAATTGAAGTATTTGAGTGAGTATCTCACGCAAGTTGTTTATGTCAAGGCGTTAAAAATCTGACATCGAATACGAATCGAATAAGAAAAAAAGACATTAATTGAACTACCAAAATTAAAGTTTCCGATTTGCTTTATTGGGTAACAGCCTAATGACATGTCTATTTCACGCAACAAACGATTAAAATGATTATTAGAGGTGTACCTTATACAAGGCAAATCATATAACTTTGTGCAAGGTGCATCCAAGACTAAATTTTGAGTGATATATTTGGTAGCTATGATTTCTTAATTATTTACGTGTACTTTACGCGAGATACAAGGTCATATGATGTAATTTGCGTGAGAGGTATATCTCCAGATATTATCGTTACGAGTTAATACAAACACAAATTTAAATCAAATACACTAACTCATAAGCACTAAGTATAAATAATACCTAAGAAATACAAACAGAGAAAAGCGAATTTTTCTTCTTTTTTTAGAATTATTGTTTAATGTGTATTAATATATATATTAACAATTTAGTATTAAAAGATTATGTATATATATATATTCATATTTAAAAGTTCTAAAACCACTAGATAAACAACGTGACTACCAAATTAAAAAAATTACGAGTCCATTCTTCAGCATCAACAAAGTAGTCACTAATATCATCACTAGTTTTTTCATCAGTATCCGAACCATCATCAGCTTTAGATATAACAAGAACAGGTATGATTATTTTATTTGAATTTATTCCTAAATCT